GTATGTATGTATGTATGTATGTATGTATGTATGTATGTATGTATGTATGTATTTTTTGAAAAAACACAAGAAAACTAAGAAATGAAAGTAGATAGGGGCAGGTAAAGAGTAAGAATGGACTGGAAAAGGTGAAAAGATGATAAAGAAGCATGTGCATCACACATTTTAGGAAGGAAAAGAGACAGGAAACCCTTGAAAGAAAGGGCAGACCCAACCAAAACATTTCTGGTGAAGCAAAGGGGTTCCATCAAAGAGGAAAAGTGTAAGAGATTAAACACAGCAGTGCATAAGGGGGAGGAAGACGATGGACCAGTGCTAAGAAATAAGCAAGTAAGCCCAATAAATGTTGGGGCAAGGGAGGCAATTTTAGAATTTAGAAGGTGAACTACATGAGGAAACTTCCAATATTATTTTCAGCACTGAGGAAAGCCACAACAGCAGCAACAGTAGACAACTGCATACACTTTGCTACTACTATCACTATCTGTTTCTCCTCTTTCTATTCCCTTCTTCCATCTTCTAAATATTCAGCATGAAGAATAGCCACTGTTTTCATTCCAAGTCTCAAACTCTCTTGTTCTCTGCTCTTCTTTGCTTTAGATATTTAATGAACACGAGTATTAAAGGTATTTCTTTAAACATTCAGCTCTGACATGCATTTTGCCTTGCACTTGTGTTTTGCCCTGTCCCCCTGTCCTGTCCAGAAGAGATCCATGAGTCTTATTTAAAATGTCTTCAAATGCTCAGTAGGATAGTAACAGGTGACAGGGCCCTCCTGGTGATACTTTTCTGGAGATGCCATTTATGAATCCCCAACAAGAAGTCAAGATAATTATAAAGAAAGCTTTGGCTGAAGAAGCAGTTTGACATCTACTTCAGCTTCGTAAGTTTCCCAACAACATGCTTAGGTGATTATCTACTTTGAGTCTACATAGATTTTTCTCAGGTTTTCTCTTCTAGGTTTTTCTAGCCAGCAAACTCTAGGCTTCCATTTCTAAGCTTAGGAAGGACTAGGGTGGTTAGAAACACAACTTCTTTTAATTTAATTCTTAATTCTGTGCCCAGTATTATGTGGAAATTCATCTGAGCTGGATATGTCAACAATTTTTTTATAATTCACTGTGACAGGATAACTCTATAGGAATAGCTATAGAAAATGAAAACAGGAGATTTATCATGCTGAATGTGATTCTGGAAATTACTTTCTTTTCAAGGAAGAATGGAACATGCTGAAAAGAGATGATGCTACCTGACAGGCTAAATATCATATTTTGAAAGTAGGCATTTTATGCAAATACTGTCAATTAGATTTCTATTAATTGGCAGTAAAAAAAAACCTTTGAAATTTCTTTTACAGTAAAATGTTTCACTGAATACCAGGTATACAGATATAAAACAGAAAAATCTTAATTTTTCTTACAAATAATGTGAAACTGCTGGCATTGTTTCACTTTAAGCAACATTTCATAATCATCTCACTCCATCTGTTTCAAGAAGACAGAACCACTTAATTAACTTGAAGCTGTTCCTGGCATTGTCAGAGTAGTAGCTTCTAATATTGGCTGTGGGAAATGGGGTGGAAACTGCAATGAAGACAGTTTTATTTTCTTCATTGCTTTAATAAAAAAAATATTTTTTCAGTATTATCAGTATTGGTTGTTTTTCACAACAACATATCTAATATAAAGAACATGCCAGAAATACTAAATGAATATAAACATGATTGGAAATTTTCAGAGAAAATAAAAGTTATTTAGTTCATAGTTTATTTTATTATCATCTATGTTCTATAGATGGCATTTTGTACCAGTGTGGCTGGCAAGGATATTTAAAGGCAAATCAGCTAAATGCTGGAAGTGCCACCAGATACCTGGGTCATATTATCATATGTGGTGGCATGCTCAAAAGTAAAAAAATACTGGACAAAAATACATATGTGGTTGGAAAAAATGATAAAACAACATATTGATTTAAAACCAGAAATATTTCTATTGGGGATTCTACCAGAAAAATACAGTAAGGAAAATGCATATTCATATATTAACTGCTGCCAGAACTGTGTTTGTACAAAATTGGAAGAGTGAAGAGATACCCACAGATGAGAATGTGATTAGGAAAATATTAGAATGTGTGGAAACTAATAGATTAATGCTGGCAATTAAGGAGAAAGAGCAAACTGAATACTATATGGTATGGGATCTATTTTATCAATGGTTAAATAATAAAAATGGAAGTTAGAAACAGGGAAACAAAATTAAAAGATATGCTAAAAGAGATAGGTAAATATTATAACTATAACTACCATGTTGAGTATTATTATGTTAACATTGTAGAATTAATATGTGGAACATTATTATGTTAAATATTGCAGAATTAATATTAAATGTAACAAAGGATGTTGCAATTCTGATTATTGTTTAATTGTACCCAGACAATACACTGTTCAACTGAAGATGGAACGATTATATTAGAAATAAAAATTATATTAAATTATATATAATTTAAAGGGAGAACTATTCAAGTGTCTGATTGTATTTCGGGCAAAATGCTTAGAAGATAAACTGGAATTTCCTAATTTTTAAGGCACAGATGTATGTGTATGTGAACACACACACACACACACACACACACACACACACACACTGTATCGCTCTATTCTGATATTCTTGAGGAAGATATTCCCATTATGCTCTATTCATATCTACAGAATTAAATTAAATTTTAAAGAGAGGTGCAGAGTTTTTGTAAGCAATCTTGCAAATAGTCATGCCCATGATGGGAGAATGGTTATGGTCTAAACCAGTCAGAGTGTGAAAAGAACATTGCACCACAATGCACATTGCATTGTGATAAGAGCCCTCACTTTCCTGTACATACATTGTGACAATGCATGCCATTTCAAAGGGGGCAGAGCAGTTGCAAATGCCCCTACTGAAAAGATTGAAAAATATAGTTGCCATAAATAATAAGATACATAGTACATAAAGAAGAAAGTAGTCTCTTTAGTGCCAGTTATGTCACTTGGGGTTTTTCTTCATGTGTCTGAAATAAACTGTAAATGTTATTTACATCAGTTTTTCAACATTCATGATAATTCAGTGCTACAGTAAGTCTACACTTATATTATCTAACCAGGTGTGCCAAACTCACGGCCCACAGGCTGGCCTGTCTCACACGCTGGCCATGCCCACCCCAGTTAACCATCCCTGGTTAAAAGGCTGCTACAAACTAATTAATTTTGATAAACATGAGCCTTGCCAAAACTGTGCAAGGCTGCCAAGAATAACAGATAAGGTTATCTAGAAATATTTTATAACACAAGAGTCTTCAAATACCACCTCAGATAATGCAATGTTCATGAGGCTTGAGTTTCAAAATGTCTTTGCTTTCTGCAAAGAGTGATTCACAGCTGGTTTTTATCTTCTTGAAGGAGGGGCCATTATCTTGCAGCTTTACTCCTGAGTTGCCTGTGCTACTGCAGCTGCTCTTTCCTGTGAGCAGCCCTGCAAGCACGCGCACTTGGCACAGGCTCCTCGGGAACCTTCTTATTGCTGCTGCCAGCCCCCACAATCTCTGAAGGCAGCAGTCCACTCCCTAATGGTCCTGGCTCCTCATCTGAGTCCTCGTTCTCCTCAGCTGTCCACACCTGCTGCTGGCTAACCACAATAATACCTGAATGTTTAACTTCAATTAATGCACTGTAACCAAAGTAATATAGTCTACTTTGGTTTTCTACTTGATTTAACTGTTACAGCTTTTCCTGAGAAATATGAAGAATTGTAATTGATAATTATTTTGTAATTTGGATGATAGGAGATGTTCGCAAAATAATTCTCATAGTTTCCTGAATGCA